GTGACGATCGCACTGGTTCCCTAATCTGGCCAGGACAAACACGGCCAAATCTCAGTGACTGCATCCCGAGACTAGACGGAAGTACCAGTCCTTTGTCCGACCGTGACAATGTAAGTTTCTGCGCTTCCGCGCCCCGTACAGTTCTGTGCGACCGGAAAAGTTGACGGGTGCACTCGCGTTACTATCCAGGGCATCGCACGCAGCGCCTTCCGCTGGGCAGAGGGCGAACCATGATATGCTTCTGGAGATCGCACACTACCTCCCGAAGCCAAATCTTGCCACGATGGCCCTCACATGCCACACATGGCTCCCGGCCGCGCGTGAAGGGCTTTATCGCCGTACCTACTTCGACATCCACGACCGGAGGGTGTTCAGCCTCGAGCGGACTCTGCACAGCTGCGCACATCTGCGCGCCCTCGTGCGGCACCTCCGGTTCCACCGCGGTACCGTCGAGCCGATATACTACCCCACGCTCAGCTGCCTCGGGTTCTTCCCGGCGGGGAGTCTGCAGTCTGTCACCTTTGAGTCCTACACCGACCCCTCGCTGTATCGCAGTGCGATGCGGCACATCGCGACGCGGACGGCGCCCCAGATCGTGGTCCGGTCGTCGAACCTGGTGTACGGCCCGCAGATCGACGAGATCCTCGGCTTCCCCACGCTGCGAGACCTGTCTTTGGACGTGGGGTCGTCGCCGGGGCTGATCTTGTACAACGGCACCGTGAAGCTGAGGCGGCTCAGCCTCTCGGCCGACGGCACCCTGCCGTTCGAGCTGCTGGTGCACTTCCTGGACGTCCTGGACCCGTCCAGTCCTCTCGAGCGGTTCGACCTCGAGACCACGACCTTGCGTGCCGAAGACGTCTCAATCCTCAAGGCAGCGATGGAGCGCCACTGCCCGTCGGTCAAGCACCTCTCCATCACCTCTCGGCGGCGCGTGTCGTTGGAGCCGTTCATGGACGAGCTCGTTTTGTCCTTGCGCAACCTGCGGACCTTGCATTGTGGCTATGGTACCTACACGCCCGACATCCTCTCGCGGCTCCCTCCCACACTCGAGGCGCTCACCCTTGTTTGGGGCATCGACGGCATCGCGTTCGTCTCTTGGCCGCTCGGCATGGACATCTTCAAGGAGCCCGCGCCCGCGCCCGGGAACGTGCCGTTCCCCTGCGACGCGTTCGCGCAGGCCGTCGCGGCGCCGTCTAGGACGTGTCGGAGCCTCCAGCACTTGGCTGTCGCGCGGCCCAGGCTGGTGCGGCAGGACCTGGTGCGGCTCGCGGAGGCGTGCAGGTCTGCGGGGATCGTGTTCAGCGTGCGGTCTATGGACGATTCTGCGTTGGACGTTCTCGAATAGGATTGGCAGCTTCCTCCGAGTCACCAGGAGTCGGTTGCGCCGTTTCATTTCCGCCCGCCCAACCCCGAATCGCGGACAATTGAACAGGGTAGCGCTTGCGTGCGGCGTTGCGATCACGGACAGGGTTAGCGCCAACAGGCTGTGTTGTCGGAGGCGCCGATCTAACAGGTTATCTACTGATTAGATAAGGGCTACTGTGTCATTCCGTCCTAAAAGATCTTGGAGATCGGCCAGGTGGCCAACGATATATGACAGGGTTTTGCAGCGAACGAGAGCGAGAGAAAGTGCGCTGCGTGCAAGCTGTTCGAGTGTGTGGACACTGGGCAGGAGACTTGCCGCGGGGCAGCGGAAGAGTCACGGCGTCCAACTGCGGCTCCGAGACAGGCGGGACACTGTGACTCTTTGGCGTCTGTCGACGCTTCGATCGACACCGCCGCGTTGCTTCATGTTGCTGCGTGCAGGGGCGGCTCCTGAATAGAGTCTGGCTTGGATCGTCCGAGCGTTCGCAGCACCACCCTCTAACACAAACGCCGCCCGTGCCCGCGGAACTAAAACCCGACGTGCCCAGTGCGCTCAGCTCTGCGCTTTGTCATGACCGTGGCGGTCCCTGGCTCCCATTCAGTTCGACTCACTTTGCCCTAGTCTATAGCCTTATACACGCCATACCTCCTCTTTCCACGTCCAGTCCTAGTCCTTCTCCTCAACCACCACCACCATGACTGCGACGCCCGTTGCGTACGTCAGCGAAATACCTTCTTCTCCCCCGCCTCCCGCGTACTCTCCGCCGGACGCGTCGCCTCCGTATGCGTCGGAGCCCTCCGAGGACGAGGAACGGCTTGACTTCGTCGCGCGCGCGATCCACCACACACCTCGTAGCGTGTACGTGAAGAAAGCACGTCGCGTATGCGTCGTCCTCAAGAATCAGGAAAACGGTCTCGCCACGCCCGTCTACGCCAGGCATAGTCTGGTTGCTGGTGAAGTTCTCCTCGAAGACCGGGACGTCTGCTCTGTCTCTATCAAGGTCAGTAGCCGCGCCGTCGCTTTTGAGTGCATGGCTAACATGAGCACGACAGCTCGAAGGCAGACAGACGATGGCTCTTGCGGAAGGCCGCAGCAGTTCTCGTGTCCTGTTCACGACCGAGTTTACTCTGTGGCAGAAGGGCGAGCAGGCACAGTCTCCCCGTGCCATTCCATTCGCCGTTCCTTTTCCTCCGACATACACCACCAAATCTGGCGAGTTCTCAATGCCGCCTTCTTTCGAGACCCGCCTCACCGGCGCGCCTGGTCTGCGGGCGCAAATTCTCTACTCCCTCACCATACGGCTGACACGACCCCCGCTGTCACTTTGGAAGCGACACACCAAGTACGTGTTTCGTATGAGCGTTTCGTCCGGTGTGTCTAACAGTCAAACACAGAATTGTGATACCCGTCAAATACCAGCCACGTTCGCGGCCCTATCTCCCCATTTCACCCGGCCTCTACCCGTTCCTGTCCACCGTGAAGACTGCGCCTGAAGAATGGCGCCAGATTAGTTCCACCGTTCCGTCCTGCGACGACAGCGTGGATCCGATCGAGTGTCATGTATGTCAAACAATGTCTCAATGGCCCAAACGCACACTAACGGATCGTACGCAGCTGTTTGTTCCGTCGGTGCAGATTTACGGCCTCACGGACACGATACCCTTTCATCTCCAAATTAACGGTCCAGCAAAGTCCCTCTCCTTCCTCCTCGGCCTCTCGATGCCTCGACCAGCCTCCAAATCTCCGAATCGGCGGAAATGGTCGCGCAACCCGTCCTCATTCAAGTCCCCCTACCCGTCCACAGAGCTCTCGATGACCGTCTCGCGGGCGTACCCGGAGCAGGCCGGAGGGCCGACGCCGACAAAGGTCCTCGACACCTGCGCGCAGTCCCCGTGGTCCGTGCAGCACCCGTACCTGTTCGTCGGCGGCGCCCCGGAAGACCTCGCGCCTCTGCGCCCCGCGCGCGCGGCGCAGGAGCGCAACGAGTTCGTGCTCCGCGTGTACCTCCTCCGCCAAGTCTCGGCGCGCGTCAACGGGCTGAAGGCGTGGCGGAACGCGGTCATCGGCGAGGGCGCGGTCTGGCCTGTGGGAGGCCCGCCGGACATCGATTGTGACGGTGGGGACGGTGCGGCGTGGAGTGCACTCGACTGGGCGGGCGAGCTGCGCGTCGACAAGGACGTCGAGACGCAGTCGTTTGCTGTGGGTGACCTGAGTGTCAAGGTACGTCGCAGGCGTGTGTTCACAGAGGAGACAGTGGAAACTCATGGTTCTGTAGGACTTTATCGTCGTGCACCTGTCCCCGCCGCATTCCGACAGTTCACCCTTCCTCGAAATGCAGTTGTCACACCCTATTAGACTCGTGACCGACACTTATCGTGACAATCCGGACACCGCCGCGCGGTGAAGCTGCCTCGGGCGCTAGTAGCGACTTGGGTGTCGACTTTCACTTAACTTATCAAGAATCACCATAATCACGGCCATCGGATGACACTATTTTGCACGCGCGTAGAACACTCGCGTCTTCTCAAAACGCTATCGTAGCGGGGAATAATCAATCCTATCGCACGTATAATCTGTCGCATTGGATACAGGGGAGCTTGTAAATGGTTTTTGGACTACGAAGTATTTAGAGGGTACAAAGCATGTTTCAACACAAGATTTATTTATTTACAGCTATACTTCAATATCATGCCACTAGTCAGCTCGCTATCGCGAGAGTGAGCGATGTCACGGAGAGTTATTGTGATCAGCCTGTCGGGCGCTAGTGATACAAACGAATTAGGTAGGCAAGGCCTTGGGATCCTAACATGTTCAAACAAATAACTTATCCCCGAGCTTTGCCAGTGCGGAGTCGCGTTAGCTCTCGAGAAGGTCGCTTCCAAGCTCTCAATATCTCACTCACCTGGTAGAAATTACTGTTTGGCATGCTATTCCATGATGTCCAACATCCCATCATTCATCCACACCTTCTCGAACGCGATGCCTGCAGCTGCGCAAGCCGCCGCGACGGCCTCGCACGGGTCGCGCACGAGCTTCGGCAGCGCGACGACGAGCCTCCGGAGCGCCACCTCAGGCCGCGCCGCCACGCAGGCGACCGCGCGGGCAAAGTCGTTGCTCGGGAACGGCACGTTCTCGAGGCGCGGGCCCGTGATGTAGCCCCTGCCGTACGGGTCCCGGATGAGGGCCGTGCCGTCGAGTCCCCAGAGGAGCACGAGCGTGTGCAGGCGCGCGGGCGCGCGCAGGAGCAGCGCGGACGTGTACGTGCCGTACGCGCAGCAGAGCCACTCGACGGACGAGAGCGAGGGGGCGAGGTCGTCCATGAACGGCGCGTCCGCGACGCGCTCCCCGGAGGCGATGGCCAGGCGCGTGAGGGAGGGCGCGTGCGGCGCGAGGGACCGAGCGAGCGCCGCGATCACGTGTTCGTCGGGCTGCGCCGTCACGCGCAGGTCGAACCGTTGGAGGGGTGCGGATGGTTCGATGGCTGACAGGATCTGCGGCAGTGTGGATGGTATGCGCTCTACCGTGATGCTGAGTCGTTTCAAGCGCAGTGTTCCCTGTGGTGCTAGACAGTCGCTGTGGACAATAGCAGAGAGGGTCCGCAGATGCGGATTTGCAAGGACTATAGCCATCCGCTCGCGGTTGAAGACTGGCTGACGGATTACGACGTGAGGCGCAGTGCGTATGGCGGGGGATTCCAGCAGCATGATCAGAGGACGCGTGTCGCTGAAGTCGATTTCGACAGAGACAAGGTTCCGCTCGGGGAGGTACTTGATCCACTCGAGCAGGAGTTTGAACCAGCCTTCGCCTCCGACTATACCGCGGAGAGTGAGGTGCCGAACCAAACAACGCAGGTCTTCGCGCTTGTTGAATAATGCCACGAGGGCATGCGTGCCGCGCAAGTACGGATCGACGACTATGTCGCGGTAGAGGTGAGGTCGCACGATGGGCAACCATTGCTTGCAGACGCGTGCCACGTTTGCCAGGTCTCGTTGCCCCAGCTTTGCCGCGACTTCCCACACGATGTCTGTATTCCACGTTTGCATGGTTGTTCGACAAGCTTTGACGGAGCCGCCAGGACCGCTGTTTATCAACGACGAGGACGACATCGGCAAAGTACAACTCATATATACGCAAAGTTAGATATCTGTACACGTATGCGCTTCGACAGCGCCACGCTGTGAACACGCGATTCACGCCGTACCGCTTCCGCCGCAGTAACGCGTAGTACTCAGCAGCAGTGCGCACAGCAGGGCTCTGGTAGCTATGATCCCACAGCATAAACCCGAAAATAAACTAATTTTTCTAATTCATCTTACAGAGAGCAGTTCTTGACTGCTGCCCGGTCCCATCACGTGCTCATGGAACCAGAGCACTCAACAGGACATTCCTTATCCGCATCCTTCTGAACGAGATGCCAGCGCTAGCACAAGCTTCGGCGACGGGATGACATTGGTCGTGAACAGAATCTGGTAACATAGTTGTCAACTGCTTGAGAGGTGGAAGACAGGCTTGTGATTTCCGTCGCGAGCTCTTCAGACGGGAAGGGTATGTTCTCGGGGTGTAACCCCCGGGTGTAGCCTCAGCCTTTGGGGTCCGACATCTGGACGGTTGCTTCGATGCCCCAGACAAGCATAAGCGTGTGTAGGTTGAATGGAGGTCGAGGCATAAGGCCTGATACGGCGTAGGTGCCGTATGCATAGCACAAAAACTGCAAAGATGACAGCGGCGGGACAAGGTCATCCATGAACGGCCCGCTGGTGAGTTCTGCGCGAGTAATAGTCGTGAAGCGCACGAGCGACTTTGCATGACGCTTTAGTGCGCAGAGCAGAGCAGCCGCGTCGCGAGGATGGGCAATGTCGATCTGTAAATTCAGGTGCTTGAGCTGGGTGTCCGACTCGATGGCATCGAGGATTGCTGGCAGGTGGCTCGGCAGATGGTCGCCCTCGGGAGCAAATCGCGCCAGGTTTAGCTCCGCTGTGGGATCCGGAGACGCGTTGCCCTCACCTGCAAGCGAAAGGCCCTCCAAGTGCAGATATCGCAGAAGTCCCGCCAGTCTGCCCCGAGAGAACTTCAACGGAGGGCGCAGGGTAATGTGATGAGTGGAACGAATGGCAGGGAGATCCACGAGGAGATCCAGCTTTTCCTCGTTGAAGTTACCCCCGGAACTCCACGGAGATCACGCTGTGCTCTCGAAGCAGCGTTATCCAGCCAAGGAATGGCTTATACCATCCACCGTCGACGCGATAGCACTCGAAGGCAATGTGCGTACCAGAGATCGCAGATGCTCATGGTTAGTTAATGTTCTCGCGAGTAGATGCGATTCAGGATATTTCGAGCTGAAAGAGACACGGTGGTAGAGGTTGGATCGTGCGATAGGCAGCCAATCTTTAGAAACCAGAGCTGCTCTCGCCAGGTCTCTAGTGCATAGCTCTAGAGCCATCTCGTACAGGACGTCCGCGTTCAGTCTTGGAAGACGTCTCTGCTGCACCCCTTTCTTCTGAGTCTAATGGTACATAGTTGGCTAGAAGAGGTGTCAGTACGCCAGTGGCTGTTGGTCTCTAACACCCACCGGGGACCGCACTTCGCAGATAACGGAGCTGAAAGACAGAGCTAAGTGCTTGCGCTTAGGTCTCGTCGTTCCTACATAGGTATTAAGCAAAGCGAGGTGACTCAGGTAAAATACGCGATACCCGCCCAGAGAAGAGGCGCCGACAATCGTAACTTACGCGGTAGACACGACGGCACACTCCCGTCACGTCCACAAACTCGACCTTGCCGCCATTCTCGCGCAGCAGAACTCCCAAGTCGACTTGCACGCTGAAGCCTAAGAGACCTCAACGCGCGATTTTC